AGAAAAAAATGATGAATCGGAGCAACAAAACCCAAAATCGAATAAAAGAAGAGAGAACACTTCAAAGAGGCTTAGAAGAATCACATGACCATGTGAAATAACAAGAGAAAAAGCTACCGATCGTGTGACACGAAAAAGAAAACCATGTGTCTCACAAGAAAAAGATGCCATATGGGCAATAGCATTTCACATGGTCAAAGGAAGAAATCCCACATGACGAGTATGGGTGTCTCGGCCTAGCAAAGCCCAAGAGAAAAAAAGACCACATGTGAAGAACGTATTGCATATGGTTTATAATGCAAAGTCACACATTTGAGTCTCTCAAAGCAAAATAAGTCTACACGAGCGAGAAAAGATTCAACATGCTTAAAGGTAAAAATCGCACGGACGGTAAGTAAGCAATACGGAATGAAGAAAAAGGCATATAGTCGTGTGCCCTAGTTAGCAAACCATGTAACACTTATTCTTCAAGGCTCCAACCATGTAACATTAAGCAAAAATTTGTGTAACTTATTTCATCAACTTGAGTGGCCATGTAGGGCTGATATATATGTGATGTAACCCTAGTTTTAGGTATAAATAGTAAAGCTAGGGCATTATTTTGGGACCTCCACTTTTCATCGAGTCACAATTCATAGAAAACTCTCTCTTTGTAATTCATTATGAGCAATTAAACTCTATTCTAGGTTGAATCAAGTTAAAGCTTTTGGTTAATCGCTATGAGATTACTGATTTTATTTCTAAACTTATCTTATTTGGGTATTGTATGTTTTTCTACATGATTGATTTATAGTTGTATGATTAAATTGATTAGAGTGCACACTAGTTGTTTAATTGTATTAACTTATTGCTAGTTAAGTATTTAAGTCTACGTAATTGCTTGTCTAAATTTGCATGTGGTAGTAACTAGAGGTTGATGATTATTTTTCATGTTTTCATTCAATTCCTTAGAAAACATAGAACTAGACTACATCTTCTCTAGCGCATAAAAAGGTGGCTTAGCTTCACTTGTCTTTTTACGTTTAATACTATTATTGAATTAAATCTATCTAACTCTTAGTAAGTTGTTCGGTAGCTAGAAAATTAGTTATGTATCGTATATTCGATTAATGACTAAGGAAAGACCGAGTCAATATACATATTGTTGTCTTAGGGTGAATATACATGTTTAGGATAGGTTAATTATTTAATTGATAATCGGTGACCAACTAAAAGTTGATACTGAAGTTCAACCAAGACTTCTTTAATATTGTTATTTCTTTATTACTTTCAGCTTTTTTCAAGAATTCCAAACACACAAACCCCTTTTTACACAACAGGAACACTTAAACATTAGAGACGATCCATTTAGCCTCTTTCTCTATGGGTTTGACCCTTTCTTGCCTTAACTATAGTCCTGTGATTGGGTTTAGTAAGGAAAATATAAATATCTAATTTATTGACGAGTATGACATGTCATCAAAATATTAAATAATTTAAATGACTTTTAATAAAGTATAAGATCTAATTAAGCTTCCAAAGGGCTTAATACCAAGTTTAGCTTTCAAATTACGTAGATGAAGATTATAATATCAAAATATTTAATTGGACTTAAATTCATGGTTTTAATTATTAAATGGAAGGTACTAAAATGATCTTAGAAATTTATTAGTCAAGTAATGGTATTCATGTTTTAAAAGGCTTATTAATTAATGAAGATTAAATGAATTATTTCATTATCTAAAATTATTTAAAACGAATTGATTGGATGAAAATGGGTTTAGACCAAAAATGATTTTAAGGTAATTAATATGTTTCACATCAATATGTCTTACATATTATATTTTCATAAATGTATTTTTTTAAAAGGTTTTAAAGGAAGTGTTCCTATTAAATAAATTGATTTAAGAGACATGAAATGAATTTCTAAGCTATTTTTATTAAATGAGTTATTTTGAAAGATAATGGAATTATAGTTATACAAATGTATTTAAGGAATAAATAATTGTCATAATGTTATCAATCGAATTCAAATAATTCTATGTTATATTTAATAAAATGGGTTTAGTCCAATGTATTGTTTAATTGATTTCTCTTTGGATGGGATTGATGTAATAGTTTATTTATCACATGTACTTGTTTGATGTAAGGATAATTAATAAATGATTTCAAATAAAGTTTCTGAGTTGAGTTTAAGAATTGTTTAAAAAGGGGTCACTAGTCAATTATTTTGAAAGACTAATAAAATAAATTTACAATTATGGTATGAGGATTAAAAGGATGGATCTAAATTAATAAATTAATGAACTATCATTGTAAATTATTATTATTTTAACAATAAAGGTCATGAGGCTTTGTGTTTGATATTCATTGCACTTTGAATATGTATCACTACCTTTAATACTCTTGACCAACTTGGTCTTAGGTCGGAGGTGTTACATTAGTTGATAAATTTTAAATTATATGATTAATTTAGAGTATTTTGGTATTTATTTTAGATATTTAATGGTTGCTATGGATGCCTATTAATGTGTGATATGTTTTGGCCTAAATGTGAAGTTTTGATTGCTTGAGTTATTTGGTGCCACATGGTTTGACCAACTTCTAATTTCCATGTTGTTTGGAATATGTTGTGTAATTGTTAATTATATGCATGTAATTGATTTAATAGTACATGTCAATGCTTACATGTTCATGTGAAGGTTTGAGGAAATGCATTTCATTACATGCATATTCATGCCATGATCATGAAAAGTTTTTTTTTTTTTTTCATGATTTTTATGAAAGGAAAAGGAAATGGCATGGTTTTCAAAAGGAAATGGTTAGACGCATTCAAGACGTCTATAAGAAGAATGACCAACCTCTTGCGAGGAAAAGAAAAAGGGAAATGAGATGTTTTTAGTCCTTTTTGTATTTTCATAATGCATGTTTTTTTTTTAAAAAAAAACCCAAATATATACACATTTGGCGAGGTGCGCTTGAAAAAAGGAAAATGAATTTCAAACCACAAAATGAAAGTTTTTATTTGCATCACATGCATCTCATGCATGGACTTACACTTACTAAGAATCACTAACCATTTCATCTTGTGGTGTAGGTTAGAGGAAGTATAAATGATGGCATGTTTCAAGATTAAAGTTGTTGCCAAACGAGTCTCGATTTGTCGACATGTCTACATGAAATGTAGATGTGAGTTAGAAGACCTAAACTTGTCTTTTCTTTTCGTTATTGGACACTACTCGTGTTTAAGGTTAAGTCCTTATGGCATGTAAATTAATGGTATTTATGGCATAACTTTAATAAACAAATAAATATGTGTGTTTGGATGTAATTAAATTTAGTTTCATGGTTTAAATTAGTGAATGAATTAATAAATTGGGTTTAGGATTTAAATTAACAAAATGGTTTAATTCATAACGATTAGAAATTAAAATGGTTTTTAGTTAGTTAATGCTTAAATGATTAACTCATTTAAAACCCTAAATTAGTCGCAGAGCTTAACATAACAATTAGCTTCCAATGGGCTTAAATTATGGTTTTAATCAAGGTTTTTAATTGCTAATAAACTCATAATTTTCCAACATATTGAAGGTTACAAAATAATATTTTAAATAAATTATAAATTTAATAAAATGATTTATGGTTTGTCAATTAATGGTGTTTATTTTAAATGGTTTGCAAATTGATAAAGATTAAATTGATTATTTCATATTTAATATAATCTGAATTTTTGTAAATATATTTAGAGAAAATTAAAGGGGAAATTTATTATATTTTAAGCCGAAATATTATATTAAAATATTAATTTTTTGTTTTACATAAATAAGTTTTTATGCATATTTGGGTAAATGTATTCACATGTTTTAAAGAATTGATTTCTATTAAATATTAGTTTTAAGAACTTAAAATGAATTTTTCAAGTTATAATTACTATTTCTATTGAATGAAGGGAAATTTATGGACATGGGTTTTATACAAAAGGTGGACCTAAGTTTTAAATTAAAAGAATTTCGATGTGAATGTTAATCATTTAAACGGTAAAAAGACACAAGGCTTAGTGTCTCGCATTCATTTCGAGGCATTGCTGGTAATATTCTCGATATAATTTAGCTCCTAGGTCGAGGGTGTTACAAGTTTCCTTCCAACAAAATTAAAATCAATAAAACTAAACTCTTTTCTTAATCATAAGTTTTGAATTAAATTCAATTAGGGTTAATTAGGTAGTACAACAAATAAACATCATGAGTACTAAAGAGCTTGTAACCTAATGGTAATAGTTTCTTACAATAATAGGTCACGAGTTCAAATCCTATCGGACTAATTCCGTGAATAGCCTTGAATGTATAAATTAAAAAAAATAAACACGAGTACATGTATTTTACTAACTTGACTTTCACTCATCTTTATTCTTTATTTTTGGTCATATTTACTTTGCAACTAACATCAAATTGTAATATAATTGTAACTTTGTATTAATTATTATTATTATTATTATTAATTATAGTGAATAGAAACCGTGCTAGATTAAAGAAATGTCCAGACAAATATTGGTATAGTTATTTTCTTTAATTTCTATTTCTAACCTATCCACTACGTAAGAGTTTTGAACCAAATACTTATTCAATAAAAGAGGCAGGGTGTTCGCGCATGCACACACGAGCGCGTGCGCGCGCGCGCACACACACACACACGTATATAAAAGTAGTTTTGTTCTCTTTGGTTTTTGGGGACTTGCTCATCTTGTAATAAAAGTTAATTTTGCATTTTGGACTATAATTCAAAAAGTTGTCAACATAAATAATTTATTACAAAAATTGACTCTAGTGATTTGTAGGAGGTTTATTATAAGATTTGAATCAATAAGTTAAAAAGTTCAAATTTTAACTTTTGATTCATATAACATTAAAAGTGTAACAACATTATTACATGATTCTTTTAAAAAATGATTTAAGTTCTTCAAGGGTTAAAACAAAAAACAACAAAAAAATGGAGTAATTGATACAAGTTCATAGCATGTTATTCTAAGAGGCGAGTAGATGCGAGTATCCAAATGCATCTTCCAATTTAAACAAAAAATCAATTGTCCCTGATAACATAACTCTTTCAAAGGTTGATGCATCTAACATTTCGCTCCCCACGTTAGTGGTGTCATCTGAATAACAGGGAAATGTAATGTACCAGGAACAAGAGACAGAAAACCACAACTAATCACTTAGACGATAAGATCTCCCTCTGAAAGCAACACCGGTAGTCCCGTCAGCCACACGAGCAGTTCTGTCAGGCTGTGCATGGTTATATGTTGGGGTTGGAGCTCCTATTCGCCAACTTGCAACCAGTTTATTTCTGTTAACAGTTCAGGAAATTGCAGTAGCAGGAAAGTATCATAAAAGTATTCCACTCAGTTAACAATCAATTGCAGATGCATCAAGGAACTAAACAGTTGATCCACAACATTTGGAAAGATTTTGTGGTCTCAACTTAGACAATAATGTGATACAAGAGAAAATTGCAAAATGCCGAGCAAGAAGGCAAAAGAAAAAGCTGCACAATGAATGAGAATTCCAACATGTAACTGAATGCCTGCAGTTATATCCTCACAAAACAAAAACATTAATTCGGAAACTTTATGGCATTTGTGTATGAGAGGGAGAAATTTGTAAGAGATATGAATGATGGTTTCACATTGAACACAAATGCTGATTAAAACTGCAAACAGCTAGTATACTTCTCTCCTTGAGGAACTAAGCAATATAAGGATACACCCATCTGGGGGTTCTCAACATGATCTTCCCAGTTGCAAGAGGATGCAACACAGTCAAGAAGTAATATAAATGCCCTGCGACAATTCCCAGGAGATCTGGTATAAGAGGTGAACCAAAAATAACATCCAAAGCAAGCATTGCCCATGGTAGATAAAAGGCCTGAAGAAAAAATAAACATTTGCATCAGATATGAAAGCACTTGACCACAAATTCTCCACACAGAAGATGCAAGAAACCATTTCACCATGAAAGTTTGCTACTGAATACCACTCAACATACCTTAAGGGTTACAAGCCCATATATGTTGATTTGGGCATTTGGAAACTCTCTACTCCAAACATAGAGAAGCATGAACACAAGTGATATCCCCAAGAAAGGGGTCCTAAAAATGGGGATCGCAGAAAGTACCTATAATCCAAGAGAGAGATCATGCCAAAGTTAGCAGAAAGACTGATCTCATTCTACGCATTCAATCAACAGAAGGATGTTTGCAAGAACAAATTCAAATAAACAAGTATCATCCAAGCTAGCTCGCTATGTGCTTTACGTGTTCTCAAAGGTGGGCTTGCACTTGAAACTGAAAGTCAAATGAGAACGGGAAAGTACATGGTAAATCTAGAACAAGACACTTTACAAATTTCTCTAGCTCAGATGGGCTTGGCCATCCCATGATTACCTTATGGCATAATAATCAGCCCAGGAATTTTCAAGTGGAAAATCAGACACCTATTCCTAAGGAAATAAATTAATAATGAAGATAGCGGCATACCAATAATGATAAGGCTCCAAAGATCATCATCCACAAGAAATCTGCTGTACGCCTTTCAAATGGCCCTTTCTCCAACTGGACTCCATATCTTGCTCTGTTCAATAGCAAAAAGTTAACAGAGAAGCATTAGTTTTCGGACAAAAAGCATTTAAATGTAGATGTCAATCGACTCCTTGCTTCTAAAACTGAAATGAAAACTTTAAGAATCATACAATAAATTAAAAAGTAAATCCTCCAGTCCAAAAACTATATCTTACATCATTAAGAGGCGAATTCCAAAATTGATAGAAAATTTTCCAAGGAAAAAGAAGGTTGTAATAAGCCTCCATACCTACAAGCAGATTTGAAGTTGAAAAATAGTTCTACAAAACATTTCGACAAAAAGAATAAACGTTCAACAACAACAATGGTTTCAAAATTGAAATCAATAATCAAAATTTCTCCTAAATGAGTTGTATGAGTAATTATGAGAAGGCCAACAAGCACAGTTATGTGTGTGGGTGTGAAAGACGGAGTATTTCTTGCCGGATGATTGGTCAACCTATGTGCAACCCTTTCCTTTATGAAGAAAAAATAAATTAAATAAATAAACAATGGTATTTTGTTGCCTAGTACTTGCAGTTGGTCTAATTGTTTTGTCTTCTTAATAACAGATCCAGTTTTCCAAATCAAAAAAGAAAAAAGAAATCAAGTTAAACTATAATTATCAAAAAGAAAGTTAAAAGAAAAGAAAAACCCGAAAGATTATCATGAAATAAATCAATTAAATACATACCTGAAAGTTTGAGAACACAGGTTTATATAGCAATGCAATATCCGACAAATCAAACAGTTGGAGTTGAAAAGCCGTAGTGAAAAGCAGGCACAAGGTCCCATAAGCCTTGCTTATAGGTGGAAGAGACTTGTAGTATCTGAAATTAAATTAAATTAAATTAAAAAGAAGAAGAAGTTGGATTAATAAACCCATCTTCTGATTTGTTCGGAAAACGTAAGAAAGAAGACGATACTTAACTCAGCAGGAGAAGACATTGGCAAAACCCAGAAGTCTAAAACCTAGCAGATGCAAGCTTTTCGGTTTCGAAAACGATAAACATATAAAATAAGTAATGTTTTTGTTTTCTATGCAAAATAAAAGACAAAACTGCAATTTCAGTCCCAGCATTTGATTTTTATTGCCTTTTGAGTACCTAACTTTTAATTTTACCTATTTGAATGACCATTCTTTGAATTTTATCCATTTGAGGGACTAATTCTTAAACTTGATGAGACTAGTAAAAAATTACTTATGGCTATTTTGTAATGACATATAAAAAATATAGATCTCCCTTGAAATTAAAGAAAATTACAACTTCGGTATCCAATTTTTAATTTTTATTCTATTTAAATGTCTAAGCTTTTATTTTACTTATTTGAGTTATTAATCTCTCTTTATTTTTATGTGCATTTCGTTTCGAAAACTATTAAATACCGACATAATCGATATCAATCAATATGTGATTTTTTTGTACTATAACACATAGAAGAAAGTCTTATTCAAAATTATTATTATTATTATATATTGTGACAAACATTAAAAAAAAAAAAAAAGGACTAATAGATTTTCAATAGTTTTATGTTCCAAAGACATTTTCATCACTCATTTGGTTTAGTGACAAGCATCTAAAAAGTGATATCATTTTCTTCATGCTAAGTTTTACGGTATTCACAAACTTCTTTAGCTTATAATATAATCCTTATAATATAATCCATCAACCTTTCGAACAATTATTTTGTACTTGAATTCAAATGATCATTGAAGGCATGCTTGTATAGTAAGTACAAAACCAATTTTTATATTTTTTGTTATAATTTCAAGCAAGATATGTTTTTTGCTACATCTTAGTACAAAAAAAAAAACAAAAAAACAAACCACTTGTTAATTAATAGCGACCACATCAATATTTAATAGTTTCAATAATGAAATCACTTAAATAAAAAAAAATAAGCAAAGGTTAATCTCTTAAGGAGGTGAAGTTGATGAGAACCAAGCTTTTCACCATGAGCTAGACCAAAGAGTGGTTTAACCATTGAGCATACAAAGAGGTCTAATTGCAAGGAGTTAAGCTTAGTGAATATCATCTAAGCTATTGGATCGAACCAATAATCCAATAATCGGACTTGAAAACCTAAGTATTTTAGGTTGTGGGCTGCAATTGTTGTTTAGTCCGTGGGTTGGTATCTTTTAGGTCGAGTTCGATTCAATTGTTTTTGGGTTGAGACATGTTGTTGTTGCTTGCTCACCAAAATAAGCTTACCACTTTATGGTCGGATGCTTCAATTCTTGAACCAAATAATGGTTGCAGCTTTCTAAGTGGTATTTTGAAAATAGAGGAGACTCGAAGTTAATGTTTGTTAATTGTTTAATTGGATCTAATGCTAGCCAATTAACTCTTGAATAATTTGGTTTCCAACGACCTATATTGGTAGAAACATTGTAATTTTTAGGATCAATCAAACTTTAATCAAATTGAAATATTTTTTGTAAGAAATTCTCCCTTAAGTTCTTCCAAAAGCTGACCTTGAACTTATCAAGAATTTAATAATTCTCGTGGCGTTCGCATAGAATTATCCTATTCTAAAATGTGGCATCTAATACCAATCTTCGGGATTGATTTAGCTTTCCTCAAATTTAAATAATCTTGTTTGTTGGTTCTCTAGCCATCGTGCTAGGCGAATTCACCATCTTTTGTTTTATTTTTTATCCTTGTTGAATTTGGTTTTCTTCCATTATAATTTAGCTTTGTGTAATTTTGAATCTTTTTTTGTCCATTCTTATTTATGTTATTTTAGTTACTAAGTTTATATTCATATTATATATAAAAAGAGAAAAAAATTATGTTACGAAACAAAGAAAGAAAAAATCGAGTCTATTTTGTTTAAATCAATAGCAACGTAGTGAAAAAAGAAGATGAAGAAGAATCGGCTTTGTTGCCCAAAATAGTAGCTAAAAAATTCGTATTTTATGTGTTAAAGTGATTGTGATTAGATCCATTCAAAGACAATCCGATTGTGTTCCTACTTATTGAAAACCATTCCTTTGTGGTTAGATAAATTCAAATCGGTCCTATTGTTGATCAATCTATTCGAAAGCTTTTTGCTTAAGTGATTGTGTTCAAATTATGTCTCCTTTGTTAAAATTCATTCAAATCAGTCATAATGCCAAACAAATTATGTTCAAAAAATCAGTTGTGTTAATTGAGTTAGTTTGTCATTTCCCTTAGTCAAATCAATCCAAAAGTGTTATTTATTTATTTATTTTTTGTCGCGTTGGTTTAGTGTGTTTTGCTTAATTTGTCCGAAATCTTATTTTCTTGGAGAGTGAAATTAATTATGAATATATTTTTCCATCTAAACATAATTGTTCTTGATTAATTTGGTTAGTTCTAGAAACAACTATAAGGAGTGAATTTGAGAGGTAAAAGGCAAGAGAGTGTGACCTCATTTTGAGAAAAAGCCACAAATAAAGTAAACACAAGGGTTGAGTGTCATCGATTCAAGAGAAACACATGAGGGAGTGTCTATGAGGAATTCTAACATCTTTCTATAAGCTATATCATGTTGAAATACAAAGAACCAATAAAAGAAGTTGCCTATCATGTTGATGAAAGAAATGGAGAAGTGGCATAGCATGAGTGTGGGGAATTTGAAAAATTCCAAACCAAGACAATTGGTGTGATCTAATCATACCTCAAGTAAATGTCCTATAACCCATAACTCAAGAATCAACTAACGGATATCTAGAACATACATGCAAAGTATAAAAACAACAATGTAAATTCATAGCTCTTGAAGTGTAGTACAGAGATTGATTTTGGCGTCTAGTTTCCCAAATGTGAAGCCTTTATTCCATCCACACGAACTCTACACGACCGAGCCTTCAATCTAGGACTTGGCATGCTATTATGATCTTGTCTCCCAAATGTCCAAAATCAATCTCTAGCTACCACTAAGTAATCTAGCTTGAAGTGATATAAGGGTTGAACTTTCTTGAGCTTTTTGGTCATATGTCTTACACTATGGAGAGTTCTTAGATGAATGAATGCCGGGCACTCTTCCTTGTTCTTACTTCTAATCTCTACACATTTCACTAACATCTCATGAGTAGATAATATTGCATGCATTTGAGATGATAAACGTCTTTTATAAAGACATTTATCATGCATGCATGAATGAAGACATTTCTTCATTTCTCTACACTCTCCATTAATATCTCATGAGTTTAGAATATTGTATATATTTGAGATGACAAGTGCCTTTCATAAAGACACTTGTTATCATGTATGCATGAATGAAGACACCTCTTCATTTCTCTACACTCTCCACTATAAGTGGAGAATATTGTATGCATTTGAGGTGAAAAACGTCTTTCACAAAGATACTTGTTATCAAGCATGCATGAATGAAGACACCTCTTCATTTCTCTACATTCTCTACTAATATTTCATGCAAGAAATGATCTTGCTTGTATGTGTGATGATAAGTGTCTTTCACAAAGACACTTATCATTATGTATGTAACAATTAAGACACATAATCTTTTCACTAAGATTATGTTTCTTAATTGCACTAATCATCATGCATACATTAATCAAGACACTTAATCTTCCACTAAGATTATGCTACTTGATTAATATATCATTACTTGACCTAAGCTCAATAACTCTCAATTTATATCTCATATAAATCTAGTCTTAATTTATTCACCCTAAGTTGGATAAAACTTCAAGACATGCTAGAGACCTTGTAAATTCAATTACAAGTTTAATCATATTATTTTTGATTAGTTAAACACTTTAATTTGAGATTTTTTCTACCGCATGTTAATGTTTGATTAGTTCATTGACATTTGCACCATGATGATCAAGAATACATAAAAAAGGAAATGTATAATGTAAGGCATGTTATGTTACATGCATTTATATGGCACTTCATAAAAGATTTTTCTTCATGATTTTGTAATGGAAAAAGAAAAGAAATACATGGTTTTGAAAAAAAAAGGCCAAGTATCTCTAAATAAATACTCGAGGATTGATCACCGTCTTGTATAAACATGAACATGGATATGGAAATGAAAATGGAAAAGGGCATGGAGATTTACTTGGTGCTTTCGTGATATTTTCATAATTACATGGTTTTTACAAGAAGGGTGATTATACACACACACACACAATCAGCGAGGTACGTATCGAAGATAGAAAATGTATTTCAAAACATGAAAAGATTTATAAAATTGCATCACATGCATATCATGTAAGTGTAGGTGTCTAAAATTCAACTTGTTTGAATGGCTTGATATATTGTATCATTGCATTTTTATATTAATAGTCGTTCAATTCTTGAACCAAATAATGTTGTAGCTTTCTAAGTGGTATTTTAAAATTAGAGGAGACTTAAGTTAATGTTTGATAATTGTTTTACTAGATCTAATGCTAGCTAATTAACTATTGAATAATTTGGTTTCTAGCAGACCTATATTGATATAAACATTGTATTTTTTAGGATCAATCAATAATCAAATTGAAATATTTTATGTGAGAAATTCTCTCCTAAGTTCTTTCAAGAATTAACCTTGAACTTATCAAGAATTCAATAATTCTCATGGCATTCATAAAGACTTATTACTCATTTTCTACCTATTCTAGAGTATGGCATCTAATACCATTCTTCGAGACTAATTTAGCTTTCCTCAAATTCAAATAATCTTGTTCTTTGGTTCTCTAGCTCGTCATGATAAGCGGATTGATGAGTGCATAATTGGTATGATTTTTATGCTCTAATACATTGAACTTTCTAATGTTTATTGTATTATATTATGTTATTTAAGAATAAGATAATGATTTTGGATTTTAAAGGAAAAAATGATGAATTGAAGCAAAGAAATCCATAACCAAAGCAAGAAAGAGAGAAGTCACCAAATAGGCTTAGAAGAGTCATATAGCCGTGTGACTTGAAGGAAGAAAACATGTGGAATCTCAAGCATGGCAAGCCATACGAGTAGAACCATTTCCATACGGTTGAAGAAACATTCCATACGATCGTGTGATTGATTAAGCCCA